CTATGACACTTAGCAGTTTATCATCATGTCGTCTAACTCTCAGGGGGCTTGAGTTTATTGGCTGCTGCTGCATAACAGTGACACATTATTGACCTTTAAACTGGTATTAACAATCGTTTTACCAGCAACGACCCCACTCAGCCTTCAGTTGTTTTGGAAACTGATCATTTTATGGGAAAAGGTAACGAGCAGCGGAGCAGTGGGAGTACTGAACATAAAATGCTCTTTAACCACAACGACAGGGGAATAACAGCTGAGGGGTTGCGGAGGTATTACAGGGCACCAAGCTGTCGCTTCACCGAAAGCATCAAACTCCTAATTGGAAAGTTTTGTTCTAATTTCGGTCATCTGCTGTTTGAACAACGCCCACTCTCCCAAAAATGACTGCTCTGTGTGAATAAAGCACAAAGTGATGATTTTAGTTAAACCTTGGTTTTTTGTGGTGGTTTGAATAAAGTTGTGAGTTTAGCTACGGTCTCAGCTCGGGTGTGTTTTTAGCGGGAAAATGTTTTGGATAAAATAACAGAATCTAAATCTTTGGATGTGATTGTAGAAAATACAATGAAATTAAAGAGACACGATTCAACTTTGTCTCCTGATCGTGGGTAATATCCAGCGTTCAGTCGAGTACTCCGCTTCCTTCCGCTATCCATCACGAGCAAGGTATGAACCCTCGGTAGCGATGTCTCGTTGAGACATGCACGCAAACCTTTTGGGACGTATATCTTAAGTTTTTTGTTTGATCCATGTCCCATCTATTAACATAGAAAAGGCAGGATTTAATACCCATACTGCAGCCAGCCAGCAGGGGGGTATCAAGAGGCTTCACTTTAGAGCGGGCGTCGTGACATCCATTTTTATTTAGAGTCTGTGGCTCGGACAAATACAACAAAGAGCTACCTGACTGAGCCAGAACTTACAAAAAATAAAATAAAATTCATCACAAGGCCAATTTCTAGGTCTGTCCACTCAGAGTGAACTTCAGCACCATGTTTCAGCTCTCACCTGGTGTGTGGTGTTCTTTGAACTCTGCGGAAGGTGGAGGGATTTGAGTCATAGTGAGTGACACGAAATAAACGTTTGAAATACTGGACTTTTGATTTGGCTCATCTGTATCACTTCGAAGTTTCAGCGAACGAACGAAGAGAAATGTGAGAAATCCGAAGCAGGAGGACATTTTCTGCAGAGTGGAGATAATTTATCTCAAAGCAGAAGTTAATCATGCCCATGAACTGATCTTAATTCTGTGATTCAATTACATTTACACTACTGTGCATGTGCCGATATTTATGTTTAAATACCATCAAACATTTTGTACGTGGACAAAAACGTTTCATACTTTCCGCCCATATGTTCCTTTTCTGTCGAGAACAGATATCAAGAACTTTCACAATCAGTGGTGAGCATCCTCAAAATAATAAACAGCCGTCTGACGACTCGGAAAATCACGTCACTACAATATCCTGTTTTTTTATCTTCTTTTTTTAAAATGCTGTTTTGGCGTGAACCAGACTTCCGCTGAATTTTGTAATTAATCAGCAGGAGAATATTTTCCTATAAGATGTTCAGAACGTAGATTAAAGCACTTTGTCCTGAATCTTCACCAGACAATGACAGAAACTGTGAAGTGAGAGTGACTTTAACAGACTCATCTCAGGTTCACGCTTGATTCTGGTTAGTCAACATCAACTTAGTCATATGACTTTCACTGTTCACCAACATCTGTCCATTGTTGCCATGTTGTGCTTTGCAGGCTGCACTGAAAATAACAGACAAACCTTTCTGTTTCTGCAGCGACAGGGTTTCAATCAAGAGACGAAGTCAGAAACTGAGACTAAAGGGAACATTGCTTAAGACCCATGGAAACACTAAACCTCTGTAATGTGATACTAACTGCTTACATGCAGTTTAAAAGCCACACTGACACAGAGAGTCAAAGGTTGAACTATGAGAGGAGGCAAATCCCCTGTGATGAAATATATTTATTTGTTTTGCATTGTAGAAAGTCGTGTGCAAAGATACATGTTAAAAAATATTTATTTACAAACCAAGTCTCAAAAAAAGCTACTGTTTAAACTCCTCAGATAAAAATGAGAGTTTTAAAAAAAGGTCAGAGGAACAAAAGTGCAACAGTCGAGTTCAGTACAGATTTGTCTTCTTCATGACCCTCAAGAACTCCTGCTCGTTGACCTCCCCGTCTCCATCTCGGTCCGCCTCGTCAATCATCTCCTAAAAGGAGGAGAAACACGGAGCCGTTAGACACAGAACGCTAAACTGTAGATATACTACAGTAAAGTAAACTAAAATATACACAGACATGAAGAAAGTCTCACTCGTCTGACATCATGAGTCATACAGGTTGTGTCTAGTTCCTCAGAAATAACCTGATATGCTATCTGATTTCACATGTACGAATATTACAAGGTCGTGGAAGTTAGTTAATCAAAGAAGACGAGCGTTACAGCTTTGTTCGTAGTAGTAGGTTATTTTTAACATTGGTAAGAACGCAACGCTTTGAATTAGTAAAACATACTTTTCTGCTAGAATTAAAGGAGCGTGTTTCTTTTCTTCTAGAGTGCTGCATAGGTTTTTTTGTGATTGTAAACATTCTGCTAACTCTGTGGTAAAGGAAGTTCCTCTCCCTCACAGAAAACAATATGAGTGTAATAACACACTCAGAAGGTTAAATGTTATTTGGGGAATCTTGGGGGATCTTGAGGCAGCAATTATCATGTTTTCATCAATGTTTAATCATCTGAGATTTAAAAGCAGTGTGGTTTCAATACCTCAGAATGAAACCTTTAAATAAACATGGAGTCGATGTTACACTTCCATGTTTCTACAACAGCCCAGAGTGGACAAACTAACACAAGCTCAAAAGAGTGTTTCAGAGTTTAACATCACCTGAAGGCCCCTGTAGGTTATTTTAATCAAAGAGTAAAGGTGAGGTGATGTTATGTTCCCTTAGTTGTAATGTGCAACTTCACCCCCAGATGTGATCCATCCCACTAAACCTTAAAATATTTTTCACGCAGACTGAGAATTTATGTGAAGTGGTTAAACCCAAGTCTAAGTAAGAACAGAACATCAAGAGTCTGCGTCCTGAGATTTACAAGCTAATGATTGCACTTGAATGCAACAATCAATGCAAATTAGAGGGAAAATCTGATTATATAGGTGGAAGATCAAAAAAAATTAAATCAAACAAAAAGATGGACACTGCAGCCACAGCACCTGTAACTCCTCGTCTGTGAGGTTTTCTCCCAGCTCTTTGGCAACTCTCTTGAGGTTTTTGAATGAGATTCTTCCTGTGCAGTCGTCATCGAACAGTCGGAAAGCTTTCATTATTTCCTCTTTGGAGTCCTTTTCACTCTGTTAACAACCAAACAAGATATGACACACACAGGGATTCGGACTGGGAAGGAAACTGTGTTTATGCAGCACATAGTCTTTCTGATCGTCCATACCGCTTTTCAGTACAAGTCACATTCACACGTTCACACAAGTGTTCTTATTTCCACCTCTCATCATTCACACACTGTCGGTTCAAGTAGAGAGAAAGAAATGTATTTCTCTTATCCTGTAACTTTGAAAACTTCAAGGAAATGCTTTTGTTGTCAGAGTTTTACATGAACATTTGTCATCAAAGGTCAGATGAGATAAGATTTCATTGTCCCAAGATCAATAAATTAGACAGACTGTTGTTTCATCTCTCTGAATTGTTTAAAAGTGACAGAATCGTAATTCTCATAGTCCCTCTGAGTTGTTTCCAGGTCCTCTCGAGTAGCAGCAGCATCACACTCACCATTTTCAGAGTCATCATGCTGAGAAAGTCAGTGAAGTCGATGGTCCCGGATCCTTCTTTATCGATGTCTGCGATCATCTTCTTGATCTCTTCTTTCTTTGGCTCAAACCCGAGAGCTCTCATGGCGACCTGTGGCACAGAAATACAAGTCTTAAGATTTCAAAATCAATTCTTTGACACGATATGGTCCATTTTCCTGCCATTGGTTGGTTGGTGAGGGAGCCGCAGCATCAAAAATGAAATTCACGGGTGATCTACTCACCGCAGTGCCGATGGAAGGGTGGGTGAAGTGTTTGATTGGAGTTTCAGGGGTTAGACAGCGTTGCAGCCAAATCAGACACAACTGAAGTAAAATGGCGACCCCTTCTTCAGAACTGCTGCAGGAACTCGTGAATTATTGTGAGACATTTAAAACATGGTGTACAGGACTAGTGTCACACCGAGTGTGAATGTCGGTGCTTACGGACACTTGGATGAAACCGCAGGAGCAGTGTGGAGGCTCGTGTTGTTCTACGTTTGAAGAAGTGGTCGCCTGCAACTTCAACTGTTCTGGATTCTGCTGCAACGCTGTTTTACCCCAGAGACTCCTGAGGTGTCACCCCTCCCTCCATCACCACAGTGGTGAGAGGACAGTGAGTGAATTGTCATTGTTTGGGTGAGGGGGAGGGGGAGACACCTGTGGAGACACCTGTGGAGACACCTGTGGAGACACCCTGACCTTTAGCTCCTTCACGTCTATGGTTCCAGTTCCATCGGTGTCGAACAGATCGAACGCCTCCTTGATTTCTTGCTTCTGCTCCTCGGTCAGCTCCACCTTGGGACCCGCCTTCTTCCTCTGGTTCACCGATGGAGCCGCTTTCCTGTAACCGGACGCCTGGAAGAGACAACAGGTGAGGTCCGGGGCCACCGTGCTAGCTAACGTTAGCCGCCACGCTGCTGCGGGCGCCACGAACGAAAACCCGCGCGCGGGCGGAGAGACGACCCGCAGAAACGCGGAGGACGCATCACAACGTAGATTCCTCAACAAACATTTACTCAAAGTTAAGTTTTTTACCATTTCACCGAAGGATTGAACCAGGAAACCGTCTGCGGTGCGTTCGATGCCCGGACGTCAACAAACCCGAAGTAGCAACGGCTCGTCTCTGTCCGTCACGTGACACGGGAGGCTGGCCAATGGGGAGCACGGCAGCGGCGGATTAGCCAATCGCAGAGCGGAATGGGCGGGTTTAAAAAAAACAGCCAGCCAATGGGAGAGATCGCTTCTTTGTCTCCAAGCAACCGGGAAACTCATGCGCATGCGCAAGTGCTCTGTGTTTGGAGGCTGAGCAGCGAGCAGCAGGAACATTTGACTGTAATAAACCAGGTAAAGTTCAGTTCCTCATGTGGATCTGAAGTTTATGTCGTTATATGTTTGTTATACGTTTGACTTCACCTCAGCCTTTTTACCCACAGGCTGAATATACAAGGAAACCGACTGTATTTCCTGAAGTTAGCTTGTTAGCTTCACTCGCTAAAGTCTGCTCAGCTGTTACTCTCGTGCTTCTGTGCTCAGGAGTTCAGTTTGATCAGCATCGTTGCAGTTGTGCGGAAACTTTTTTTTTTTTTTTTAAATGATTTTAATAAAGACAACGAGTGGGTGCAGCTCCTGCAGAAACGAGTGTTCATTTTCTATTGCAGGAAAAACACAGTCACTGTTGCATGTGCAGCGAGTTCAGTTACTGTCAAACATAATAATAATGTCATGAGAAATCTGTATTTATAAAGTTTGAAAAGTGCCTTGACAGCAAAGCATGAAAAGTAACTACAGGGGAAATGAGGATGCCGTGTGACGAGGAGGCCGGGCAACCATGTTCAGGTGGTCGAAGCAAGGAAGCGTTCAGATTAAATGGATAATATAGAGCTGCGTGTGACATGAACACGTAAAAGCAGTAATATGACAGTAAAATAAAAGTCACAGTATAAACACAGTCTGATGAAATCAAGTCTATAAAAATGGGTTTTTAAGAAGTGATTTAAAAGAAGTCACTGACTCTGCGAGCCGTATCTCCTCAGGTCGGCTGTTCCAAAGCCGATGGGCCCTGATGGCAGAACCACGGTCGTCTTCTGTTCTTTCCGAGATATAAACTAATAATTCATCAACACTTGAACAACATTTTTACTCTCTGTTTGCTGCAGGGGCTGTATTTATTTCCTTTTTAAAATATTGTATTTTCCTACTGTATATGGTTAAACTCAACTTGTGAAAGATGAAAAATGTAAACGTTTGTCATCCTTGTACAATCCAGAAACCTCCAGTGATGTTGAGAAGTACGGTTATAAACCATCGACAGCATGTTGGACTGCAGGAGCTCTCAGCGTTGGCGGGAGTCGCACATTCTTCTTTGGGCCCCAATAAAAGGTACAAATTTATCCACGATGACACAAGTGAGGAGTCGGCTCTTGTGTGCTCATGTTTTCGCATCTTTGAGAACCTGGAGCTGACCTGCGCGGTGGGTCAGCTGGTTTACGAGACTATTCAAGCCCAACAGAAGGTCTACAACACAGGGTCAGGATGCCTGCTGTTTCTGGCAGGGGCGTGGAGCCGGGCCGCCCTGGAGTGCGTCCAGAGAGGAATCTCAGTATCGCACATCATCTCTGGGATGTCGGACGGGCTTAATATATGTGTAGATGTCTGCAGGAAATGTGCCATCTCAACTGATGGACTTCAGATATTAAAGAAACCCATTGTAGGGGATTCACGGGCATCGCACCACCTGCAGGGGACAAAATGTGTTGATCGCAAGACTCTTAACACAAGTGGACACAGGAAATTAAAGCTCAGCAGACACTTTTGTCAGCCTGAGTCTAATAATGTCTCAACGGTACCACAACCTCATCAGTTCAACATTGAACACATTGCTGAGGGATTGAGTCATGGTTGTGTCCGTGCAATGAACTTAGTAGTGGAAGCCAACAAGCTGCAATCAAAAAATAATCACGATATCAGCTGTTCCACATTTGACGTAACCAAAGTGGTGACATGTGTCGTACCTGGTTTACCAGAGGAGCGTGCGTGTGTTCTACCAGGCTGCATCGTTCTTCTATCTGCTGAACAGGCTTCAGTGGCCCATCATTTAAAAGAACAGCACTTGAAGGTCGCTCTCATCAATGGAGATTTGTCACACACCTTCCGCCATCTTGGCTTCAGCAGACCAGCAGGCGTACAGCATGTGAGTGACCAGTTGGCTCTAAGTTCAGACGAAGAGGAAGAGTGGATGGTGAAGGTCGTGGCACTTCTGCTGAACCTGGAAGTGAACCTGATACTCGTGAGTGGGCTTGCGAGTGAGAAAGTGATTCAACACTGTTGCAGACGTCGTGTGCTTGTTGTGGAAAAAGTGAAGGCTTCCATATTGAAGACGTTCGCTGATGCTACAGGAGGAGTTCCGGTGACCTACGCCACTCAGTTGACGAAGCACTGTGTTGGTACCGGGGTGAAGGTGGAGATATGGAGGGACCTCGGCGGTGGCGGCTCTGAGAGGAAGTCCTCGACAGCTGTGAATATTTCCACCGGTGGGAACAGCGAGTTGTTCACAGTGATCCTCACAAGCTGCATACGTGGCAAGCTGCAGGCCCTGGAGGATCAGTTCTGGGCCTGTGCTTATCGTTTACACCACGCGCTGAAAGACAGAGCCGTCTTGCCTGGTGCCGGAGCGACAGAAATGCTTTGTATTCATCACCTTCGGCACCAAGAAGGGACTGCTTACTCTACGCAGGAATCCAAAGCAGGAGGAGCAGCTGACCTTGACAGGGGTGTAGTGTTGCGCCTCATGGCAGATGGTTTAATTGATTACATATCCACTGTAATGGTTAACACTGGCAGGGTTTCAAAAGTCAGAGCCAGGACTGTGGTGAGCCAACAACTTCAGGAACGTAACGGACACGTGGACACCGCTGCAAAGTTATCTCAACTTTTATTAGAGGTTGAAAATGACGACAGCACTCTGAAATCCAACGAAGCACCAGCAATGGAAGTCTATGATAATCTGAGTGTGAAGCAGGAAGCGTGGAGGAAAGCGTTAGATCTGGTTTTTCTGGTTTTACAGACGGATGCGGAGGTCATCACTGGTGTGGACCAAACAACTGCTGCACAGGAAAATCTGACGCTGTTATAATCTTAAGACAAGACACAGCTTTTTAATATTTTTATTTATGTAGCCTGCAATAAATATTAAATTAGTTTTTTCATATGACTGGTACAAAGTACAATTAGAAAAATCTTTGTCTTTTTGGTTTTTGTCAGGACCATATTAAAAAATATAAATGTTAGTGGGGTATTTTTTTCTGCCACATGGGGGTGACGTTGTCATCTATCTGACTCTTTCACACCAGCACATTTCAAACTCACCTCCGGGATGAAACTAGGATGTAAAATAAAGAACAGAGTTATTTATCTGATTCACCCTTTAACCTTTAATCCTAGACACTCGGAAGCCGTGACAAATGAGTAAAGTGTCATAACAGCCTTCATGATTTTAATCTAATCTGTCTTTTTTATCACACTGTTTGTTTTATGGCTGCGGCGTACACCTCTCATGGAAAATACCCTAAAAGTCAGTTTATTTTTATTTCTAACTAATCCTGACTCACCTGAGTCTACTACATGTTCTGGTAAACACCTTCACTTCACGCTCACTTCAGTGTGGGAAAACAAATAATATAGGTCCAAAACCACAATTAAATTTCCGTCTCCTGGAGCATGGGAGGAATTTAGACGTGCCAGTTTGTCTTTTAGTCTCAGTAAACTTCCGAAATGATATTCGTGTCCACAGCTTGGTTTGTATGGTTCAATGCTAAACCCGGACTCTACCTCCATGCCAACGGTGGTGGTTTCATGACCTGTGTGGGAATAATTGACGGGGAAGGAACACCTCCAGACAGAGTGGATGTTTTTGGTTAAGTCTTTGTAGGTCGGGGAGTTAATTTTAGTTGTTTGACTTCTGAATACTTGCCCTCCTACATCATCATTCAAAGGTCACGTAGGATAAAAAATGCTGTTTCATGGAATTAATACTTATTTTACAATAATTCCAAAAAACAACTACCTTCTATTACCTGGAAAAAACTAAAATAACCATCGAGATTCTCATAAACCACGTTCTCTGTTATCTTCAATCTTTTTCCTGTGTGTGTGTGTGTGTGTCAGAGGCGTCAATAACAGTGATGTGAAATCTTCAGAGACGGAGCTTCTTGCTGTCTTGAGTTAATTAAAAGCGTTGCCATGGTGTCACAGTAGAGGCAGAGCAGCCTAGACTCAACAGTGTTGAGGCCTTGAGAGGGAGGTGGGAGTATAACAAAGCAAACACAAAATTAAGAAGGAAATTAGTGTCATGGTGACACATCCATGTTTTAATGTCCGCCCCAAACAACAGACGAAACTTTAGACTTACACATCACAAGTTTACAAAAAAGAACAGCAGTGCACTGAACGCCATCGAGGCCGAACTGTTTCCTTAAATTCAGTCAAACTGCACCAAATACACAGACTCACAGAAATCACTCCCCTAAATATGCCAGATTTTTTTTTTTGAAGATCAATGAATTGTTCCCTGGGAAATCGGAACAAAGTCCTTTATCGGCCCCTTTGTCCTGGTCTGTGCCAAAATTGAATGAATAAAATACCTTGTCACTGCACAGAATGGCTGCAGAGCTCACTGTCACCTTCTGTCGTCAGCAGCGTGGAAACAGATGCCACAGGAGTTTATCTTTAGAAAGAAGCACTGACAAACCATAAATCTTCTTTCATTTTCCTCAGACGAGGACATTTTGCTATTTAAGTATACTAGAACTCATTACAGCTGCTGCTTAGAGTCCTATAATGAAATAAAACATAACATTTCCTTCACAATTTTCATTTATCAGGGTGAACAGGCCTCTGGATCATGTACTGTTTAATAAGGGACAATGAAGACAAACAGGCAGACAATTCTGATTATATTATTCATGCCTGTGTGGAATGTGACGAGTCAATGTCAGAACAACTCTAATTGAAAAGGCCTTGAATAACACACTCATGTTCTTTGCTTTGTCTCCTCAGACATTGATTTCTTAAAAAAAAAAGAGGAAATCACAAAATAATGTTGGAACTAGAATAAGTTGATGAACAATCTTGTCCAACCTCGACAAACGTCTGTTTCTTTCTTCAAATGTGAAACGCAAACTCTGGAAAATGTCCGTAACAGATTTTATGGACTTTTCCTCATTTCCTTGCAGCAAGTTCTGCAAATAACAGAGAACATGTCTCAGGAGATTTGTTTATTTGAGGAAATTCATCTTAAACTCCATCCTGTTGGTGACTCCCTCCTCACAACCATTCAAGTCTCCGGCCTTAGTGGGTCACCGAACAGTTCATCGACCGAACAGCACGGCGGACTCTCCTCTGACCCAGCACGACTCTCAGATGTGGTAACGTTCACCCAGGAGCTCAGAGCAGAGCTTATTATGACAAATGCACGAGCCAGTTGGTCCTTAAATCAAAAAATAGAAGAAGAACCTGCAGTAATGATTGTCATCACTGATCCTCCACTCGGCTGGTTCTGAAATCAAAAATCACTCATTCATGGAGTCCACACATTGTGGATTCTTTCCCTATAAATAGCACAGAGTGAATCACTGGAGCTGCCTGTGCTGGCTGTCTCTGTTCGTCTCTGTGGATGAATGAAAACACTGGTTCTCTTCACATGGCTGCTGCTGCTCTTGGCTCACTGAAGGGTGACACCAAGTCTTACGCCCACCCTCCCTCATGCCCTCCTTCTTCGACTCCTCTTGGGTTGGTGGGTTAAATCCGTGAGCACTAGTGGGCGTGAGCATGAGAGTGAGAGTGTGTGTGTGTGTGTTGGGCGCATGCGGACTGAGGCCCGAAGGGGAAAGCCTTCCACGCAGATCTAAGCCAGCTGCCCTGCTTTTAATACTTCATTGCAAGAGGAGTGGAAAACAGGGGGAAGCCGCATGTATCCCCTCCACCAGTGTGCTCCAAGTACACTGGCAACGCAGCTGCCTCTTCTACAAACGGCAGACAAGCAGCTACAAATAGGAGATTTGGACATTTTAGACTTTGGAGGCTCTTCCAGGAGACCCTCTGCTTGAGATTCCCAGGACTCAAGGGGCACTTGCTGCCCTGAGTGGGGGGTGTTCAAGCAAACTGACCTCTGGGGTTAAGTAGAATCAGTTTGTGTGAAACTCGTTGGAGGAGGGGAGGAGGGTACAGGCAGCAGTTAGTGGGAGGTGGGAGGCCACGGTGGGGCTCCTGCACTGCTCAAGAAGGAGACGAAGCAGTAGCCGGGAAGCGGGGGAACAGAGGAGGAGATGGCCACGGGAGAAATCACTACACTTCCCTCCACACCTGATGACGGCGGCAGCGGCGGCTTCCCTCCAGGGAGCTTCAAGGATCCCAAAAGGCTGTACTGTAAAAACGGGGGATTCTTCCTAAGGATAAGATCTGACGGGGGAGTGGACGGAATCCGGGAGAAGAACGACCCCCACAGTAAGTAGTTCCAGTCCCCCTTCTTTTTGCTTTGCACAGCACACAATGCTCCTTTATGTTCGTTTAAAAAAAAAAAACAAGCAACAGGGAAATAAACGTGAAGCAATCATGGAGGAAAAATGTGAATTTTCCAGCGTAGTTGGGTTTATTCTCCACGTGAGCGTAGGCCTGCGTCTGGAAAGAATAATAAGTCAAAGGGAAGTTTGCATAATCAATGGGAACTTTGATGGAATATGCCAGTGATGTTTTTAGTAAACGTAGATCACTGTTCTGAGTCACAGTGTGAGGTTTACGTCACACAAGACAGAACAACAGTTAAAAAACAGGAGTGATTTAGAGGTCACAGGCAACAAACTGTTACAAATCAACCACTTCCTCTCGTCTGTATCAGTCAATCTATATGTTGTTTTTAAGTAAATCAGTAAATCAGTGGAATCATTCATGCGTCTGTCTGTCCCGGACAACTGTGACACCTCCGTATCACCGATTACTTTTAAGTGTGTGTCCTGTGTTGCATCAGTAAGTGGGAGGGGAGGAGCGGGAACATGAAAGTTGTGTTGTTTTCTTGGAAAACACATGTTAGTGCAGCGCGTTGCCCAAGATACCGTGTGCGACATTTCAAGCAGGTGCGGCCAAACAGAAAGATGCCTGATATGGAACCACTTCACAGACAGAGGAGCTATTATTAGAGTAATCCAGTTAACTTTTAATCACGTTCAGATATCCTGAGACAAGAAGCAAGTCCTGGCTTTAGTTTTTCATCGGTTCAGGAGTCGCAGTGAGTCATAAAACAGGAATCACTTTTAATCATTAAGCTTTTGACTAAAATGCTTCTTAAAGATAGAATAGAGAAAGAAAAGAGACAAGACCCCTGTTCTTTATTTTGTTGACTTGTGTACTTACATTATCCAAATGTTCAAACCCAGAGAAATTCCCAATTTTATTCAAAGTAGCAGGAAGTTTCATTTCCTTCTACTCATTGGATCGCGATTAATCGTTAATCGTGAGACTTCAAGTTTTCACACTATACATTTAAAACTGACGTGACCAGAACTTCACCGATTATCCTTTTCTTAAAACTGCGTCAGACCCCGCAACGAACCTGCCAGTGAGAGTTGTTACCTCACGTTCTGTGTTTACGGAGATGAGATGCCACACGTCGTTGGCCTCACACCAGCAACATGTACAGAAATGATCCAACTGTTCTTCCTATTTTCTCATCTCACCCCATGAACACTCATTTTTCTTTTCTTCTGGGGAAAAACGCTTCTTTGATCAGTGATAGGAATCATCCACACAGCGACTTTAACTGCTGACAGATGTGTGTTTAACCAAAGTCTTAACGTGGATTAATTCTGGACAGATTTCCAGATTAACATTGGCCTCCTCTTAAAGTAAATGCGTAAATAATTAAATGAATAAATATAGATTATAATATAGATTAAAAAATATATATTCACATACAATACATCCAATAAAAGCCAAATTGGAAACACACCGACGTGAGACGCTTGTCTACAAACCAATCAGACGCAGCCCACGCAGGTGATGACGACAGGATGTAGATACGTCGGACGAAATCTTTTAGCGCGCTCCATAAATTACAACGTGAAACAAAACCAACCAGATCAGATAGAAACTACGACACAAAGACATGAAGCTTGGTTCAGATTTCAGGTGTGAAAATGACCTTATTCTTTAAATCTCAATGTTTTTTTGAGTAAACTTTTTGTTTTTTTTCCTCAGTAAAACTTCAGCTCCAGGCGACGTCAGTGGGGGAAGTAATCATCAAAGGGGTTTGTGCTAACCGCTATCTGGCGATGAACAGGGACGGACGACTGTTCGGAGCGGTGAGTGAGACAGCTGGATTATCGTGTTCCCATCATTAAAAGCCTCCGAGTTTCTCCAGTTTAATCTCAGTGTCGTGTCACAAGACCGATGCGTTTTGGAAATCAAATATTTACCCTCCCACACAGAAGAATGAGGCCGATGCTCATTTACCATCGTCTACGAGAGAGGAATGTCTCAACATTGAACAGACCAAAGGGGAAACGTAGAAGATGTATTAGATTCAGAAAGAGATGAACAGTAGTTAGTGTCTGAGGCATCTCTAGCAATAACTTCTCGCTCCCTCCATCCTCGAGTCTGGTCGTCTGCAATGACATCGTCTCAGTCAAAATGGTCGACAGCGTCATGATTCTTGATGCTGAGATGTTTAATATGTCACATTATTTAACATTGTTTTACAATCCAGGCAAATTATCGTGTGAATTGTTTGAGAACATACAACTTATTTGGTTTTTGTGTAAAATAATAATAAATAAACTTTTCTCATGACCTGGCTTCAGTAACGAGAAGCAGAGAGTCGTGCAGGACAAGAACAGAATCTCCGAGATATTTAAGGAGCTCGATCAAACGTTTGAACCAATCGTTTGAATAAAGAGAAGCAGGAGCTTATTTTGTCCAGATGTGGAGGAGGTTTGACAGCTAAGTAACCACCGCTGGTCTTGTGCCACCCTGGTCTTTTCATAGTGGCAGTGTGAAGTGTTTGGTGACTGATGTGGTTCCGTGGTTGTGAAGAATCATTTCCTCTGAATAAGAAGCGACGAAGCGTCACCCTCTGTGTCAGCTCTGATTCCTGCAAAACTGCTTTCTCCATATTAATATCACTAGATTGAAATTATCTTAATGATCAGAAGTGATATGATCATTAAGATTAGCTAGTTTAGCATCTTCAGTGGAAATCAGTCATCAGCTTGGTTCTGATCATGAATTATCATCTGCTTTGTATTCAAGCCCTTTGATATATTTATGTGTGGTAGTGGTAGTGTAGTATACACATATATATATATATATATATATATATATATATATGTATAATCTGTAGGGTTTGTCTGTTTATTCTGAAACCCAGCAAAGGTCACAGGTCACAGCACAGAATCAAAGTTTTAGCCTAAAGGGAAATGTATAACACCACATGTATATACAGTTACATTTATCTTTAATTCACATATTAATGTTGATACCACACAAAATAAGTAAGTTTTACTTGTCAGGTCTTTACAATGGCCTTCTGTTATTTCATTATTATGGCCTACATCCCTCTCATAAGTTAAGTAGAGGTCAAATAGTTTGTCAATCAATAAAAGTCATGTGTCATAAGGCTGAATTTTTTCATGTAGCACTTATTGAATATTTAATACTGCATTTCTAGTTGTATTCATTTATTGATAAATATCAAACAACAGAAGATTAAAACTTACGTTCTGCTGTTGTTCATCAAGTTTTAATTTTCAATGTTTTTACAAAATAACTTTGCTTTTTCTTGAAGTTAAACTATAATTCCCCACCATCTTAGATAACAGATATGAAAATCTGTGTCCTGGTGACAAGTTAAGTTTTTTAGTTGTGACCAAAGATTCAAAACAAAACCAAAACCACTGTTTTTATTACTGCTGCAGATTTTCAGAACTGACGTACTGGTTCTCTACAGCTCCTGCTTTTGCATAATGAATTGAACTAAGTGGTCCTGAGTGGTTGTGGCACATCATAAGAAAATGTCATCATGGTAATTCAGAGCTTCATTGCCGAGCAGTCACGGTCAGCGAAAAACAAAAGCCTCCTGTTGCACAGGGTGTTGGGTCGTCAACGCCCAGAGACAGTGAGATGTGGTCCAGACGTTGTGTAATTAATGTTTTCTACGAAGGATGATGTTCAGAGCTTTTGTAAAAAGAAAAAGACATAATGATTAATGTGATCTTCATTTTGATTCCCTTCACTTTATATTCACATTTATCCAATGACCGATGTCTTGACCTTTTTTCATTCCTTTGGTTTTTTGTTTTAAGTCTTCACATTAACATTTAGTCCATTTACATCTGAGTTTAATGTCTGATCATGATTGAATGAAGCAGAACCAAGAAACAAATAAATGACCCGAGTTGTAATAATGTCCCTGGTCAGACATGTTCTCCATAAAGTTTTATTGTATTAGTGTAAAAACACTTGACAATAAACCAGCCGTCTCCTTCAAAATAAAGGTGCCATTTAGTTTGAGGGTGTTTTATGTGGTGATTTAATGTCATAAAAAACGAGAGCATTACAAGTTTCCTCCTCATACATTATATTAAACATTCAATAAAATATCACCCAGACAAAATAACTTCTTTAATGAAAAGCCACTTCAGAAACCACATGTCCCAGAATCATTCATATTCTGGAACGAAACACTGAAAGCTTCAAATTAAATGTCCACATTCAGTGACATGATCTCAGCTCTGTCGTATTCCAGTTTACAGAACAGCTCACGTGTATGAGGTGGCAGGTTCATCCTCCCAGCACTGAAATCTTAAAGACGACTGCTCATATTCAGGTTCATAATATTAATTATTGTTATTAATTGAAAAAGGTTTTCATGCTCTAATGTTCAGAAAACACATCACTGTCCTCAAACTGTCCATTGCTGCAGCTCCTCTTTTCAGCCTCTGTCTGAAATACTTGGTTACAGCTCCAGTCTCTTTTAAGTGTTCAATGCATTTCACACCGGAGGAAAGGAAAACTGAAACAGCATCACACGTCTCCTTTATTTGGCCTGAGCGTCAAATTAAACTTTGCTCCCTTTATGTTTTTCTCCACAGAGACGAGCGACGGACGAATGCCATTTCCTGGAGCGGCTTGAGAGCAACAACTACAACACCTACCGCTCCAGGAAGTACCCGAACATGTATGTGGCGCTGAAGCGAACGGGCCAGTACAAGTCTGGAAACAAAACTGGACCGGGTCAGAAGGCCATTCTTTTCCTCCCAATGTCCGCCAAGTGCTGATCTGGGACGCGATCGAGAAAGTTCTTAACGGCAAAGACAAAGAAGAAGATGTGAAGACAGAGGGTTGCCCCAAAACAGCTGTGATCTTTCCAACTGTTACGTCCTAACAGTTATTTATGTTTATTTTATCTTATCTACTCTTCTTCAGCTTCACTTTAAACTGTGGCACGCATCCAGACTTTTCACGTGCACCGATCAACGGCTGCACTCGTGCAACTGCAGCCAGGTGCCTTGCTCAAGTGCAGCTCAACAGAATGGCAGCACAGCACTATTTGTTCTTTTTATCTATACAGATCCTCCCTCTTCCTCTCAGATAACATGTCTTAGCCTTCAGTTAATCAGCGTGTGAGTCTGGAGTCTGAAAGCAGGACACAGGCTGTGCAGGAAGAAAAGAAAAAGAGTCTCCCACATGATGGGGATTAAAAAGACTCGTGAGATGTAGTGACTTGAAGACAATGGAGGAGGAAGAACTAGAAACACAGCAGCTTCATTTAAAGTTTTATTTGACAAACCTAAACACAGCAAACACACTCAAAATCAAAACTCGTGAAGAACTTGCAAAGTTAGTTTCTCCAAGTTTCTCCACTCACCTAAAAGATTTCTGGTGGAACCACATTCCTGATTTGTCCTTGTTTAATAAGAGCTTTGTGTCAAAAGCCCTGAAGCTTCATTGCACAGGAGAATAACGTATAAACACAAGTGGAGTTTTAAAATAATCACAGCTACAGAGAGGTAGGTCCCACGTGGACTTCAAGTGTTAGATGAACCGTATGAGATCCAGATCCTTTCAAACGCACAAAGTGAATGTGCTGCAGTTCAGTCTATTGCACCGTATTTCTTCAACAGTAAAAGTTGTTGTGTGAAACGCTCCATTGATAAATACACTTTATATATTATTAATACTGACAACCATGTGTCGACATAGCTTATCACGATCCACGATGACCCAGTGTGCTGATGGCGTGCTAGGATTTCAGTGTCTGGGGAATCTGCCTGTGGTACAGCTGGTAGAACATCCCTGAGTAGACGGCCGGCAGCTCCTCCATGGCGAGGTCGATGTTGTCGAAGCCGCGCTCGAGCCCGTGAAGCAGGAGCCGGGCCACGCGAGCCGTTATGGGCGTGGTCTCACTGGTCTTGGCCAGCTGGGCGAGGTCCAGCCACTCGCAGCGCAGACACTCCTGAGTGCAGAAGTCGATGTCGTAGGTGAGCGGGCTGAGTCGGCAGATGATGTACATGTCCGACATGCCGAAGGCGCCCGGGTGGTTGTGCTGCTGCCGGATGCTGAGCAGAGATCTGAACTCTGAGCGAACGCCGGTTTCCTCGAATACTTCACGTACTGCAGTGGCACCTGGGAAATATTAAATTACACATATATATCAAATCAACATAAAAACTGATGTAGAGGAAAGGAAAATAAAAATAGAGATGTGATGCTGCTTGTTTCTGTTGGATCATGTATAAAATATTAAAGCTGCTTTTAAAACATTAAAGGGAATTGGGAGAGACTCAGCATATATATATAAATATAGAGTGCCTTATTTTATGAAGTTCAAATGAATGTATTATGCATCATCTTAAAATCTAAATGTAAAGGGTTTAGCTAGATGTACTGTATTAGTTTTTTTTTTTTATTAGCTCTGTTGAGTGTGACACTCACTGATATTTTCTCCTGGATCAGACAAACCACCGGGAAACTTCCACGCGTTCTTTGTCTGAAAGTCGGGAGCAAAGTTAAACATCGAGTGTGACAGATGGCGCTGCTGTACATGTATCTGTTAGTGTAGAGCACAGACTGTGTGTGAAGATGGATCGAGTGTGGACACCTGACCGAAGCCCGAGGGGTCCAGAGGGGCCGGGCTGGGTTCGTAGAAAGTTTTTGAAATGGTATTCGGGTTATTCACGTTGGTTGGTCTCGTGCTTTTGCACTGCATATTTGTCATGGGGGGGGGGGACCATGGTAATAACTGCATCCGGCTGGGCTCAGGTTCGGACTGTGGCCCAAAGATTTTGAAGTGATTCGAGTTTGTTCAGCTGTGATTGTGAAAGTTTTAATCTCCACCTAGAACGACAAATAAATTCTCTGACGTAAATTCAAATGGCCAAAATAAGTTTTCTCCTTTTGGGGGGGGGGGGCTGGGCTCAGCCTTAGAGAGAGGGGGAGGAGTTCAGACACCCAGACGCCTCCAGGGTGGCGGGAGGAGACCCCGGGTTGACCCCCCCATTACCTCCGTGACCTGAGCCCCAATAAGCAGAAGACAGTGGATGGATATTTGACGTGTACTGATTTCATAGTTTGGTCCATTCACCAACATGGAGGAGGCGGGGGTTCATGACCTATACTGCAGCCAGCCACCAGAGGGCAAATAGAGTGATTTGGCTTCACTTTTGGGGAGATGTCATATCGTCCATCTTTATATTCAGTCTGTGGTGCAGAACAACAATTCACAGTCTCGTGTTAATATTTGAAGGTAAAGCTGTAGTTTTTTTTTTTTTCCTCTTAAAGAAAATGACAGTATCCAGTAAAGGATCATATATGATCTAAAACAGAGTCTTATACATGTGGAATTCTAATTATACACACAGAGATATTTAATGCTCTGATCTGAGAATCCTTTCATTTCATGTTTTATATTTAGTGCCTCACTCTGGAGTTTTTAATGTGTGTGTGTGTGTGTGTGTGTCTTCCAAAACTGTTTCACCACTTAACCTTGAAAAATAACATTTTGCTGCTGGTTAAATTATGACGTTAGTGTTGTGTGTGTGTGTGTGTGTGTATATATATTTTTGTAGTTACTTAAATAATTTTGTATGCTATGCTTGTTTTGTTTTTTTTTTCAAATTTCTATTTCATTTCTTGATTGTGCAAATCCTCTCTGTGGGAAACACGAATGCACTACGGCATTTATTTTCATGTATTGTCAACAAAATGCTATATTTTTGGAGCTGTTTCTAAAAGGAAGAAATAAAGGAGGTTCTCTGTAACTCTTAATCCGTCGAGTCCGCGTGATCTTTTCAGAGTAAAACACTGCGTCACCGCTGGAGCTCGACTTGGTGGAAGAACGCTGAACATTCGTTAACCTTTTACACCAAATCTGCAGAGGAACGATGTGCAAACGTCACTGGACGATGACCGAGCCGAGCACTCTTACATCATTCACCCCCTCGATGAATGAAACGAACGGTCCAACAGGGATCTGTCACTTTTTATACTTTTGTCACGTGCGAGTGATAATGATAATGTCGTGGTTTCTCCTCAGGAAGTTGGTAACTCTTCACGAGCTCTGAACGGGTTCGGTCTGCCAGGGACGCTCTGCTGCCAAGGGCCAGACTATTATAAAGCCTGTTTCCAGTAAACAGCTCGGTGAGGAGGAGGAGGAGGAGGAGGAGGAGGAGGAAGAGATAAAACACTCCCTGCACTTCCAGGCCACTAACTGTTTCCCTCTGCTTCTGAAGAATATATCAAGATACATTAAACGCTCTCCAGATTCCTGTGACGGGGGAGTATCTGAAGATTAGTTCATTTGTATTACCACCACAAAGGACACCCCCCCCCCCCCCCCCCCCCCCGTCCATCTGTGTTTGTCAGCTGGATTGCACAAAAACGATTAGACAGATTTCCATGCAACTTGGAGGAAGGATGGGACACGGGCCAAGAAAAAACTAATTACATTTCAGCATGGATGCAGACAAAGGGGCGGATCCCGGATTTGTTTCTCCACTTTCTTTGTCAGTGCATTTTTGGACATTTACACAAATTCCCATGGAACTAATTCATGGATCTGGATGACGGGGACTGAAATCTGTTGCTGCTTTCAGACATGAACTGAACTTTTCTCTGACACTTTCCAGAGGGGCTGCATATGAGAACGCACACGGGGCGTTCTCCGGAGTTTTACCTGCTGACCTCTGGTAAAATGTCCGAAAAAAACAAAACAAAACGCAGTCAAATGTAAAATTCACATCAAGCGAGAGGGTCTGTTGATGATGGTGCGACACTCGATCGCCATCATTCGCCTGAATGTCCTAGAAATGCTTCTGTTGTTGTAAACAAGTCTGACCAAGACAATGTCCCGCTGGGATCCTCGTACGTGGAGGGCCAAGTCCAGGACATGTCCAGACCCAATTTTCCAGATGTTTTCCAGATGTTTTCCAGAGTTCATGTCTGAAAGCAGCGTGTGTGGGTAGTTTGGTGTCATGACTGCACTGAAGGTGACTGTGGCTCGAGGTATGAGCTCTTCATCACGTTTGCCAAACTTGTGAGTTGTCTAATTGCTTCTGTTATTTTTTGAAGCAGTGATTATTTCTCCCTCTGGAGTTCATTGATCGACAGCCAACGATGACACATGCGTAACAACAGGCTATTGTGCAACTGGACATTATTTTCGTCATCTATGATGCTCGAACATTGTTTGGAAATCGTTGAATTTATCGAATGTCACAATTACATCTTCGTGGTTATTCAATCAGCCGTCAACATTATCACAGAGATTCACTACAGGGCAGCTTCAACCCTCTCAGCGTTGTTGAGTGTTGCAATGAGGGGTTGGCACCAGATTTTGGTTCAACGACCATTTCTAAGTTGTTGTTTTTGTAAACGCATCTGTATCGGGGAGGGAAACGTTGTATCAGAGCATCTATACACGTTCAGGTCAAGTCCGGTTCGCTTGTTTGTCTAACGACATGATTGCTAAATTGCTGCATCACTGACCTTCTGGAGCCCGCCGCTAATCTTGCTTTGGCCGACGGAGAACACAAACAAATGTGAGTGGAAAGGTTACAGAAGGAGGCCTGTTGAGAGTGAACTAAATAACATGTCGAGCACGACAGCTTCGCTCTGTGGGAGCGGACACACACAGACGCTCACTGAGTTGTTTGAGCACATTCAGCTCGTGTAAACACTGTTCGCTTGAGGTCGGTTAACGTCCTGCGGGGCTGTGTTCAGAGCGAGAGCTGCTGAGGGTCTGAGAGGATCAACACAGGCGACACACAACACGCTGCATAAACACAACTAATTACATTTTTTAATAGCAACGCGAGTCACAGTTTATTTGTTCACTGAGGAGGGAAGGATCAGTGATCTCAGGGTCAAGAGATGATGGACTAAAATCATCTTAAACAGCACACATGTGATGATTTTCCTTTTTTTGGGGGGGGGGGGGGGGAATGATTCACCAGTTTAACTGTAAATCACTAATCAGAGCTTAGAGCTTTCAGACCTGAACTTTCATCTGTGGGTCACCCAGTAAAAACTCTGGCAAGCAGCGAAAAAATAAAACCTCAGGAGGAAATAGAGCCGCCATAAACGTGCCGTCCTGCCTCCTCGTCCATTCAGATCTTTACTATCCCTCCATCTCATCACAACCACCACCAGTGTCTCACCCCGGGGTTCAGATTCTTTGCCTCATCACCAGGGAGTCCGGACGCCAAAAGACTTTTCCTTCCGTCGTGCATGGAAATAAAACTGTTGTCCCTCTGTCTACGGAACAGTTTTTTTTTTTTTGAAGGGTTGGCTCAGTGAGCAGTTGTTGCCTCACAGTCAGACGGCCTTTCTGTGTGAACAGTTCAGCCTCTGTGGGATTTCTCCAGGTACTCCAGCGTCCAGAGTGCAAACACATGCAGCTCATAGGAACTGGAGATGGTTGTTTGTCTCTGTGTATCAGCTGGGATTGGATGTTATGACTTTATTCTCATGAAATTACTTTGTTTTTCTTGTAATACTACAACATGGCCCCGATACTCGTACTTTTGACGACTCAACACAACGTAAAGTAAAATATGAATGAATGTATCTGCTTTGATTCATTCGTTGACATCATCTTTAACAAACGTGTTGAAGTGTTTTCACACATTAAAGTAACACAAATACCTTATTTCTGTCTTGGACGACAAGAACTTTTCCATTCGACTCGTCCACCACTGCACCTACAGAGAAAAGAAAAAAAATAAATCACACGGTCACTTTAAATATTATGTAAGTTCTTTCCCTGCAATGTAATCTGATCCACATTCTCCGCTGAGGGAGTTACTATAAGAACAATTTAATGGGAGACTTATTGGCAGAGCAGCTCCGAGTTGATTATTAGTTTGGACTCAACATTAAACTTCCACAGTGTCGAGGAAAAAGTCTCAGTCAGACCTCGGGCGGCATCTGCTCCCTCCGTTATGGATTTTCTTACATGTCTGGGATGATGACGATCAATCACGTCTGCACGTGAACCTGACGAATGACATTACTGAGCTTCTGGTTCACAATCTAAAGACGAAAATTTGATTTTACTCCACTTCTCAGCCAGTTCAGTGGCCATACACAAGAGTGACGGCCAAAAACACCAAAAATAAAAGCGTAATAAAGTGACGCTTGATGTTTATCCGAAGAGCCATAAGCACATTACTGCTGCAGTGGCCCGCGGGGACTCGTAAGATGTCAGTTCGTTTCAAATGAACCTGTTTCTGCTCTTCTGAAGGACGGACGAGGGTTCGTACAAATAACAACGTCCGTGCTAGCTCTTGGACAGTCGCCGCAAAACCATTAAAAGAGTTTCACTCGGTTAAATCTACGAACTGCATCTGATGTATTTGAGCCAAGGACTGAGGAAGGCTAAACTCATTTTCTGGCCACTTGGGGGCAGCAAAACCAAACTTTAAACCAAAAAACATGTATCACCTTTAAGTGCACATGACAGCAAGTATTCATCTAAAGGTTCAAATCACCTGATAAACGTTAAATCCTACGTTCACTCCGAGGTTGTTTTCAACCTTGCGTGCGTGTATGTACAAAATAACTCGACAGCACGTGAACAGATTTTCATCAAACCTGGTGGGTCCATTACTTGGAGGTTTATCAACAGACGACTAACTTCGGCAGCTGATCGGTCAAAGGTCAAGTCCGGGAATTTGTGTTGATTTGTGACGTTTCCACTCATTTCCCAGAAAATACTTGATCTAGGATCTTGATGAATAAAATCAGACACATTTAAAGTATTGATATCAATAAGTGTGTGTGACTTGGTGCAGCTTGATTGGATCGACGGGGCTGGACGGAGGTATGAGTTAATATAATATAAAGATGTTGATTGTAGCTGATTTAACGTCAGAACTACATTTACAGTAACTTAAGACAAACTCGTGGATGGACAACAGTGTCGACAAGAAAATAAATGAGGTTATAATAAGTTTTCGTGTCAAGAGAAAATGTTTAACTTTGAGTCTAAACAGAGTCAGAGTGACTCAGTTGAATGACGTCGACTTCACCATTTAACATTTTTGTGTCCGGTCTGAGTGGGCTTTTATTTTTCAGCAGGTGGTGACTAAGAGAGGCAGCTATGTGCCGGTGTCGACAGCTCAAAGGGGCCACTCTCTTTTCCGGGTGCTCCGTCTGAGCGTCCGAGACGTGCCTCCTTAAATGAATGTCACAGATGTGTAAAGAGGGATGGGTCGTCCTGAAGGCCTGACTTGGACTTCCAAGTGGAAATTGATGTCATCCCCGTTCCCTGAGCCATATGGCACTTCACAGGAGGAGGCCTGGTCACTGCTCAGAGAGGCTATCATTATGTAGCCTTCAGTCCAGGAAACAAAATGCTCAACAGGAGCATTTGAGGAAAAAAGGACGGATCGTCAGAGGAACTGTGGCTTTTCCAAAGAAGAAATTCATGACTGGAGTTGAAATGTGTTTTTTTTTAATAGGTTTTATTAATTTAACCAGTAACGTGAGGCTCAGGAATCTGACTGCGCAGCTTCTTTTAACAGGAAACACACATCGGTTAACAGTCTGATGCTCAGCTGCTGGATCAGTTTGCGGGGAGATGACACAACAGAGGCTGAACATCGTCCAAAACACAAATACTCATGGATCCATGAGTCACTAAGTACTGCACTCAACTGTGAAACCAACTTATTCACAATAATAATAATTTCTGAGTTTATCGGCCTAAATACATATTACATATAAGTTCGTCATTACTCTGCGAAGAGCCGTTTATTCCACCTGTGATATTTAAGATATAACCAAACCCAGTCTGAATTAATGGCATTAATAATTAAAACATTTTACCTTCCTCAATTATAAATTTAAATCCAGCAGAGTTTGTGTGTTATCTCTACAGTGAGGTTTGGTCAGCACCTCATTCAGCTCAGTTCTGATGTTATTAGGTCCCAAATAAGAACAATAAGAAGTTTCATTAAACTAAAGCTATAAAGTGGTGAGTTTTTAAAAGTGTATCTTAGATCGAAGGTATTTCTAATCAATGCAGAGCTGCACATTCTGTGTCCAGATGTGGATTTTGCTCCAATCTCCATCGAAACGATCGAAGCAGCTGCATTCTTGAGATTCCAAACATTATTTCCATCTCTGTTTCCGACCCTGAGGGTGGTGGGGGTGCACTCTGGCAACTGAAGGGGAAATTCTGGACCCCCTCCCTCAACTGAAGATGCTGTGGACATGTTCTGACATGATTCAAGGGCCTCCTTCTCTTTAATTAAGGTATAAACGGCCCTCTGCTGGACAGTCAGGAACTTTGCATCTGAGGACAGCAGCTCCTCCTCCAGCTGCTGCTCTCCTCAGATTCCTGCTGAGTGGATTTCCACTCACGCAAGTGAAATGAGACGGAGTTCGAAAATTCAAAACAACCTTGTGCCCTCAGAATAATAGAAAATAAAGCTTTTGTGTGCAGTTTAATGTGGTTTGAATTTATTTTGTCACAGATGATGAACTTCAGGCTGTAAAATCTTTACCTGCTACTCCAACTTGGTGAGTTGCAAACTCCGGCAGTCTGCTCTGGCCTTCTCCCAGCCAGAGGGCCAGGACGGCGTGGTCTTGTCGGGCATGGTGGAACGTGAAGCCGTGAGTCGAGGCCGCGGCTGCACACCGGCTCAGTGAGATGGGGACTCGAAGCCACACAGCAACCTTCCCCTCGGCTTTCCACTGGACCAAAGAATCTGTGGGCAAGTGAAATGTTTCTGCTTTTGTTGGAGAGTAAACTGCAGAAACAGACATGTGTGGAGGACGATGAATCAAAAGTGGAAGATGCTTTTCAATTACATTTCCGCTCGGTGGCATCGGTACAAAGATGGAAGATTTAGGAAGATAAGAGAGGAAGATGAACAACAGACACAACGTGGTGGAAGGAGACTTGTTGTTGTTGTGGTTCTGCTGTGTCACATTATGTAGCATTAACTGGCTGCAGCCAATAACTATAATGTAATAAATGTGATATTAAGAAAAATTTCACATCTGTAACATCTGTCCATGATCCTTTATCTTTTTACTGCTGCTGATTTTAAACATTTCCATTGTATGTCTAGAATGACAATAAATCTACTTTTGATGAGAAATGGCCTCCGGACTAAACTGTAGCACATTTATAACAATTTGTATTAATTTGATTCAGTGTCTGTGTTCAATACATCAACTAATGAAATAAAACATTCAACCACACAAACAAAATGGAAAAACAACAACGAGAAAAGAAATGAATCACTGCATGTCACACACACACACACACACACACACACACACACACACACACACA